CACCCTCTGTAGATAAATAGATAAACAAAAAAGGGGGCATATTGTTGTTCCCTTTTAGAGAGAGAGGGAAAAGGGAAAAAAAATTTTAACCCCTCAAGGGAGAGAGAAATCGAAATAAAACAAAGGCGAGGGTGTCCCCTTCAACACCAATTACAATACTTAACCAAGCATTGTACAATACTTAGGTAGGTATGGACAACACTTCCTCAAGCATTGTACATCTTTTTTCCATATACCAAGTTGGTACGTGGGAGTAGGGCTAGCAATAGCTGGGGTGCCCTCGCCCTAAAACAAATAGGACATGGCCACAAACTGTTGCCCGAGGTCGGGCTAGGGCTAGAGCCAATCCAATCCTCTCTTTTTCTTATTTTTTCCCCATTTGTTTCTAGCCTAGCCGGGCCAGGTTCGGGCCTAAACCGGCTCTTTGGGGATAAGGTCTGGTCAGGGCCAAGGCGGGTTCACTGCAGGGCGAGCCCATTGCCACCCTTAGATGGGAACTTGCCTGGGGAACTAGCCAATGATAAGTAATTTGGACTCAACTAAGTTGTCGAACACTAGTTGATGTTTATGTAGAGAGACAAGCCCTTTGTTTATTATATGGACCTTTGTCAAGTATTTATAGATGTTTACAATATTTTGGGGAAAATAGATTTTCAAGTCATAATTGGGGTCTCTAAGGACTAACCACACATTATCTAACAAGGTGTTGAGGTATGTTGTATTTTTTAAGGCCCAACCTATGGTCCTAGGCTATGAATTTCCAACGTCACAATTGGATTGTTTGCTTTTGAAGTGCGTTTACAATGCAAATCGGGGAGATCTACAAATTAAAATCCCTCATATCTGAACACTACATACCCATTTTTAAATATTTGTTAGAGAGAGATCAATCGTATAAACACCCTATTTTGAAACCGACAAATTCCATTATTTTCCTAACAACCCTTAGAACCATACTATTCTATAAGATCTCATAACTATAGAACATCATAGTCCATGGTCCCCATCTTATGATCCAGTATCCTGATAGCTCACTGATTTTGGAAATAAATCAAGGAAAAATAGAAAAGCATCGTATTTTGACCTGATTTTTTTAAGCAATCACTAAAAGATGTTTAAAACACTTGAAAGTGGAAATTTTCGATTTGGGCCTAATTTGGGTGGGCAACACAAGGTGTGTGGCCCAGATCTATGGAGAGAGACAAGGTGTGCCGTCTAGCCCAGATTAATCCAAATTGATTTTTTATTGATTGCCTAGCCTGGTCCCAACTTAATTCAATGTTGCCAACCAAATTTGGGCTAAATCCAATGGATCTAGGCTAGGCAACCACCTTGGTCGCGTAGACCTGGGTCTGGTCTGGGAGACACAGCCTGTGTCGCCTAGTTCAGATCAGCCAAATCCCTCTTTTTAAAGCTTATCAACCAGTTTGGGGCCATATACAATGTATCTGGGCTGGGCGACCAAGGCATGTCGCCCAGACCCGGGTTTGGTCTGGGCGATTTAACCCCCAAAATTGGAATTTAGCTGACAGGTCTGATAGTTTTTGGTAGATATCCATTCCACATGCTTTTCAACCTATAAAAGGGCATTTCCACGACCATTTTAGAGTTAGACACCATTAGCTAAGAAAATTGGTGAGAAAAATCCTAAAAACATGCAAACCTTAGTAAAACTCTAGGCTATCCACCATCTTCAACCTCAAATCCTTGGATTAGATCTAGAAAACCCTAGTTCAACCAAGCCAAGGCCTGGTCAAATTGAAGAGAGACATAGAGGACTCATAGTGCAAACCAGCCGCGGCCGTTATATGGGTGAGGCCTCAAAGCCTCTGGTGTTCCGGGTCAACTGGCCCAGCCAGGTAACTTTTTTTCTTCATGTTTTCATTTATTGATTAGATTTTAAGTAGTTTTATTTACTTTGTTTTAATATTTCATGCATAGGATCGATGCTGGCATTGCCACTGATATGAGAGTAGATCTGTTTATTTTTTGAATAGATCTTCCCTTAGATCGGAATTCAATTGATCCCACTCTCTATCGAAATTAATAACTGAGTTTGTAATGTCGAATAAAGAGATCTTCATCGAAGATCTGCTCTGGTCTGCATTATGAACAAATCAAATTCCAATCTAAGGATAGATCTATTTAGAAATGAAAAGATAAGATCTCATATCAGCGATAACCCCAATATTAATCATAGCACGAAATATTGAAATAAAAGAAATGAAATGGTTTTAGATTTAATAAAATAAATAAAACAACTGAAAATTGAGAATAAAGGTTACCTGGTCGGGCCAGTTGGTCTGGAACACCCAAGGCTTCGAGGCCTTGCCCGTATCAAGATCACGACTGTATTAAAATCGTGAGTCCTCCGTGTCTCTCTTCAAATTTGACCAAGGCTTAACTTGATTGAACGATGGTTTTCTAGATCTGATATAAGGTTGCAGATTGAAGATTGTTGATGGCTTAGGGATTGTCTCTAGATCTAGGGTTTTTCACTTATTTTTCTTGGCTAACATGCTCTAATCCTAAAATAGCTGTCAAAATGTGATTTTATAGACCCAAAAGCGCGTGAAATGGATAATTACTAGAAACCAACTGATCTGCTAGCCTAGAATAAGTTTTTAGGGCTTAAAGGGCTGGGTGACACACCTTGGTCGCGCAAACTAGATCTTGATGCACTGAATCTGGCCCAAATTTGGTTGGAAGCATTGAATCTGTCCGGGATAAGGCTGAGAATTGAAAAAATTGATTTTGACCAACCTAGGTTGGGCGACCACCTTGTGTCACCCCACATATCTAGGCGACACTCTTTGTATCGCCCCACTCAAATCAGAATTTTCCACTTCCATGCGTCAAACATTTGAGCGATTACGTACCAAAAATAAAGTTGAAATAAGATATTTTGCTATTTTTGCTTAATTATTTTCAAAATCAGTGAGTCTGCAGGATTACTGGATCACAAGATGGGAACCATGGACTACGATGTTATATAGTTAATGGATTTTATATAATAGTATACTCCTAAGGTTATCTAAGTTTAAAAAAATCATGGATTTTACCAGTTTTAAAATGGGGTTTCTACAAAATGGGATGTTAATTTTTAATATGAAGCCCATTATATATAGCCTAACCATCACATCAAGAAGTATATCCACACATCAAATTGCTAGAATTAAAATAAATAAATAAGAAAATTGTAGTTTTAGTCTCGAAAACCTCTATCATACCTTAAAAAAATATTTATGGCCCTCGTTAAAATTCTCTTTTTTAGATCCCAAATTATCGTGCTTTAGATGATGTCATTGTGGGGGCTTCTTGAAGTATTCAGGATACCACACGATAGAGGTAGAGTAAGAGGTGAAATAAATGTACATTTATGCGTCTCAGGTGTATATATATATACGGTGGTTTTCAATAACTTCCGCCTATTTTCGACCCTCTTGCCAGGTATATTACGTGTAATTCACACACAAACAAAACCCTAAACATTTTCAGACAAAAATTCTGAGCCCTCGCAGCACGTGTTACTTACCCACGCGTGTGCAGTCATTTCACCCTCCCATCCCGTACATGAAAATACATCCCACGAGTCCCACAAACATCGCCTCACGCGAGGGGGAGCTACACGGGCCGTTCGATTACACGTAGTGAATCCCCAGGGAAATCGGACGGTTCAAACCCTGACGCGTATTAGTCCCGAGACTGACGCAAGAGCTTCTGCCGTGCCGAGGCCGACTCGATCGCGACGGCTCCCGACAACGACGTAGATTCTCCCGTCCTTCCTTTTCTTCCCCTCCCCCCCCCCTCTCTCTAAACTTGTTGGACTTTCTCTCTCTAAATCTCTTCTGTTTGGACTTTCTCTCTCTAAATCTCTTCTTTTGGGACTTTATCTCTCTAAACTTGTTGGACTTTCCCTCTCTAAATCTTGTGCCGTTACCTTTCCTTTCTCTCTAAAATAGGGTGGGTGGTCACACTCCCTCCCACTTGCAATTTGACTTGAGAACTCTTTGTTACACAAGCTTGGATGCGAGATCCGTTTTGCCAATAAACAAGGGCCACGTGTCATACTACCCAATGATATTGCTAATTTGAGTGTAGTGGGGTCCGACGCTAGGAGTTTTTGGTAATTATTATTAATGCATTTGGTGGATAATAATGGTTATCCATTACGTGACGAGAGAGAGAGAGAGAGAGAGAGAGACACGGAATAATGCCTTCTTTTGAGAAACTCGGATATTCTTAAAAAGGTCGAAAAAGCCATAAGACGGTCTCAGCTGCTTAATTAAACAACCATTAATTAATTAAGCTGAGCTTAAAATGTAAACTCAAACCCGCTCTGCCCCAATGCCGGGGCAGCCGTGGCCCAGCTCGCCTAGTCCTCGTAGGGCAGGTTCAGGACCGGAACCATACCGGTCTGACTGGACTAAAGAGGCCCTAGCCCTCCTCACCTAAAGCAGGGAAGGCAACATGCCAGGCCTGAGCGGGACTAGCCCATAGCCTGTCCTAGTCCTCATATACTCGGCCCATGCCCGACCCGATCTTGATAGGACTAAAGAGGCTTAGGCTCAGCCTTGACCTTATCAAGGCCGTGCTGCCCAAATAAAATCAGAGAAAAATAAAATAAAAGAATAAAAAAAAACAAAAAGTCAGGCCAGGCCAGGCCAAACCACAAGCCATATTATATGGCCAAAGCTCTAGTCATTTAGGGTTGGGCTGACCAGATCGGGTCGGGTTCGCAACACATTGCCAGCCTCTCTACTGTAATGGCCCCAGCTGTTAGTTTAAAAAAGACCTTCAGCCACGTGCACAAACTCTACCCCTCTCTCACTAATAAACACGCACACCTGTTCATTTGTAAAAGATTTTAAAGGCTTAAACCACACAAAACAAAACCCTCTCCCGCCTCTTCTACCTAAGAAAATGGTTCCATTTGGTTTAAAAACGAGCTTAAACCCCTTGGCCCCCTATTTTCAATTCAAAACGCCTCCCTCCCATGCCTTCCTCTCTGTTAACCCCTGCTTAAAACAATCACACACACTTTCTCTCTCTAACAAAAATACAGGCACAAAAACCCTTTGCCCCTTTCTCTCTCCTCCGTTAGGTCCAACACCAACCTTAAAACCAGGACACAGGCTCTCTCTCTCTCTCTCTCTAAAACCTACACAGAACCTTCCCCCCTCTCTCTCTCTCTGTCTATATATATATATATATATTCCCCCAAATGCTGAACCTGAAGCGACCTTTCCTATTATCTGTACCATCAAGAAGCGGCGGTGGAGGTCATGGCTGAAATCTTTGCTGCATTCCCCTCCCAACAATAGCCACCATAAAACCATGCCCTTCTCCCCCTCTTCTTCCTCTGCCCCCTCTTCCTTCTCCTCTTCTTTTCCCTCCCAGAATTCTGATTTTGCTCTTGCCATGGCAGCTGGCCGAGCCGCTGGATTTATCCCCCAAGCCAACTGGGAAGCCTTCCACCACCTGAAAACCTTCCAACCCCACCCTTCTCCATTCCTGGCTTCGTCTGAATTTTCAGGTGATAATAAAACTTTGCATGAGCAACCTTTGAGGCCTGAATTTCCTGTGTTGGGAGATTTTGCTAGGAGGAATCTGCCATTGGTTTCTTCTTCGGTTGGTGATGAGACTGCGGAGGGGACTGAACGTGGGGTTTGTGGTACGAGCGGGTTGTCGGAGGCAGGAGTGTCGGGGAGGCAGTCTTCGATTGGAGATCAGAGCAGCCCACGAAGGGATTCTGAGCCGTGCAAGAAGAAGAAGGCCCATAATGATAACGACTTAGATGACCTAGACTGCGAAAGCGAGGTTCCATCTTCTTCTTCACTCACTTCTTGTTTGATTTCATAAAACCAAATAAATTTCTTATTTTTTGTCTTTTTTTTTTTCTTTTTTTGTGTTGGGAGCATTGGATTTTGTCTGCTTTGGTGTGATTTGGCTAGCTTTTTCTGCTCAATCACTGATGTGTGTATTCCAAGGGAATTGGGTCTTCTTTGCTTAGTCGGATCGTTTTATTGATTTAGGAGGGCCAAGAGCCATCCGAGGAGATGTCAAAGCCAGCACCTTCTCGTTCGAGTACAAAGAGAAGCAGAGCTGCCGAAGTCCACAATTTGTCTGAGAAGGTTCAGCACAATGTTCATTGCTCAAGTCCTTCTTGTTGGTGTTTTTTTTTTTTAAAACTATGTGATTCCCATGTGCTTTTATGTTACTTGGTTGAAATGTTTTGTTAAGATGTTTGTCATGTTATATGATGCATGGGGGAGCAGAGGAGGAGGAGCAGAATCAATGAAAAGATGAAAGCCCTCCAGAATCTCATTCCGAATTCGAACAAGGTTTTCACCTCCCCATTCGACACTGCTATCTCATATCGAAAAGCTATGCTCTCTGTTCTCAATAGCATTGGTTTGCATAAGATGTTGGTAGCTTTTATTGTCATCATTCTTCTTTGACGAGATGAATATTTGCATGAAACATTTAGTGTGGTGATGCTCTACTTTTTCTGCTTTTTACTGTCTTCCGGCAGACTGACAAAGCTTCAATGCTTGATGAAGCTATTGAATATCTCAAGCAACTTCAGCTTCAAGTACAAGTAAGTTTTCTTGCTTCTAATTGATTCCTTGACATCTGTCTGATCCATAATTTCATTTTCTGAGTCTCTTGAATTTGTGTTTTCGTTTATTTCCTTTCGATCTTGATGTTTTCTTACTTCGTTTTGGTTTGAAAAGACAAAGTACACATCGTTTGGATGGTTTTTGTTTTTTGAGATGATGTAATGATTACTGGTGGAATTGGCTTCCTTGACTTGTAATGGCTATTTTATCTTGGGTTGATTCATGTATATATAGAGGTTGGATTGGTTGCTGAGGTCTGTTAGTATGGTATCTCTGTGTATTCATCAGTGGTAGTTGCATCGAATCTTTGCATCAAGCATGTAGCATCATTTTTCGTTTCCAATTCAATTATCTGATTTTGCCTAAGTTTAGCTATTGCTCCTTTGATGCTTTGGCTGGCTGCTTGATTGGGCATTGTAGAAGGTTGGCTGAATGTCGGTTTACAAAACAATAATGTTCAATATCTTTTTCTCTTAATGCAATTCTCTCTTCCTTGGAGATCTACATTTAGATTTGTAGCATTGAATACAATAAGAGACCTCTAGCTAGCCTTCCAAATGCAGTTAATCCTTCTCTTTTGTTAAATGAATAGCCATTCTTTTTTTTCACACCTACAGGGCTCTAAAATAGCTTTTCCCTATGCCCAAGGGCCTCTCATATTCCCAATGTGTTTTATGATTAAGGAGATGGAGGAAACTTTGAGTTGTCTTCTTCTCCATTTTGGTTATTTAGAAATATGAGAGTATTGCTATTATGTATTGAGTTGTTACATGCTCCTTGTTAACTTTGTAGTGGGGTGAGCATTGGTTCATTGTAACCATAGAGGTGCATTCTATGGTGGGGTTTTTGTGCCTAAAATCATCAAGAGAGCGTGAACAATTGGAAAACAGTTGATAGTTTTTAAAGGAGAGACCCAGGATAAGCTTCTATTGGAAGAGGTTATAGCACGCCAGAGCTAAGCCTTGTCTTATGCTGGAGAGGTCTCCTCCTTAAGATGGTGGAATAATGGTCAAATTTGATAATTGATGGTAGGCTAAAGGCAGTGTGGGGCTCTGCTGATTCGGTGGTCTAGAACTTTGCGGGAAACCAGTGTAATTATGTGTTATATGTAGTGTTGCATTTTACATGTAGTCAGATAGTTTACACGCAAGACACACACAGATGTAGATACATGGATTAGGCTATTTTAGTAATGTGGCTTATGAGGGGTATTTAAGATACTGTTATCATTTGGTCTATTTGATGTAAGTTCTGTATGTATCATCTCCCTAATCGTTTGCAAATATACTCTTGTCTTAGAGATGAAGTTTCGAAAAGCGAGATGCTTGTACCCAGATCTACTGCATGTATACCAAAAGTTGTACAATGCTGTGACAGATTCGGTCTTCTTTTGTCCGCAGATATATTACTTGCTGAGTTATGAGAACTGGTCGAGGTGTTTTCTGAAAAAGAAGCCAAAAGTTTATACTTATAATCTAGTAGCTGGTTCTTAATCAATAAATGTGAATACATTTTTAAAGCTGGATGAGATTTGGGGATGACAGGAGCTAATGTTTGTGTATGATTTCACCTAAAGTTTCAAACCTTAAGATATTCTGGAGATGGCCATGGTGTCACCCGTACAGACCTGCGACTTTACCAGAAGTGTTTAGGATTGCATTTCTGACATGTGTGAACTAAAAGTTTTGGCATTGAAATAAATATGCTAAACAAAAATTCAGTATTCCATCACTGAAAGGTAGGGGTTGTAACATGTTAGACTCCAATGATATTTGCAAGTGGTTTTGTTAAAGAGGCAACTCTCTGGTGCCCCTTTCTTTTGAGAAATATAATAAATAAATGCTCGGATATGATTGAGAATCTCATAACTTGGTTTTTTCGAGAAATGATTAAATGGAAGTTACACAGGACTTTGTAAAACTGCATCCTGAAACGTATCGATTATAGGCATATGCCAGGGTTTTCTCATTTAGGAATAGCAGTTAGGAATATGAATATGGAACATTAGGAAAACGGGAATACAAAGAACTGTATGATTATTTCATTGATCATTAACAAATAGCGTAATATAGGTTGGGTGCTTGACTAATCTGAAAGCCTCTAAAAGTATGAGATTGTCTTCAATTAACATTTTTATGTAAGAAAAATCTTCAGTGAGTCGGCTGATTCATGTGTCTGCCCTGGTTTTCCAGGGATTTAGGACCCAGAAGGCCGAAACACATCCCAAATTACTTTAATTCCATTTCTGCCTCAGATCCATGAATTTGTGTTCCATAAACAGTGCACACCTTGTGATTTTTGAAGAACTAAAAAGAATGGTCCAAAAGAAGTACAAAGTAGACCATTTTTAAGGGTCAAATTCGTTTCTTTTTTGAGATTCATGATTGTTGTGGTCAAGATGATAGCAGTGTTTTAAAATGCGGGATGCTGTCTCGATGCGGTTAGGGGGCTGATGCGGCAATGCGGTCCAGATGCGGGTGATTCACCTCGATGCTGTCAAGAAATATAAAAAATTCCAAAAAATCTCAAAAAATAGGTTAATGCATGGATAAAATATGGAGGTGATTTATGTGGTGATAGGTATCGAATTTATTCATTAGCTCCAATATTATCAGCTGTCGGAGACTCTGAATTCCCTAGTAGAAGAAATTAGAGATCGAAAGTAGAAAGTAAAACCTTGAAACTAACTTTACAGAAGACATTAGAACTTAGGACACACCATATTATCAAACTTCACAACGCCCAAGCTAATCCCAAATCGACAACCCAACCAACACTTGGTGCAACTCGACAATTTTTTTCAAATAAAAATTTATGCCAATTTTTTCCCCTCTTCATTTGATCCAAAAACAGCCACATTGTGGCTGTTTTTTGTGTTTTGGTTGTTGTGGGGGGGGGTGTTCATATCCCCCCCAAACACCTAGAGCAAATCAACAATATTTTTTCAAAAAAACATTTCTGCCATTTTTTTTTATCCTCTTCATTTGTTCCAAAAACAGCCACATATATGGCTTGTTTTTTGTGTTCGGGGGTGTTTAATACCCTCAAAATCCTTTGAAAATGACAAAAATACCCATGCTCGTGGGCACCGAGCTATGCGGTGCATATGCGCCATGCCGCCGCATATGTAGTGGGATGCGTCGCATCCCACCAAAGCGCCTGTGCTCTCCTATGCAATGTGCATAGAGCATTATGCTGCCGCTATGCGGTGATGCGGCCGTAATGCGGCGATGTGTTCGCATTTTAAAACAATGAATGATATAGATAAAATTTTGTATCCGAAAACTATCTTCAATATGGATATTGGGAGGGTGGACCCAGCGCATCAAGTGTATCCCTGGATCCACCTAAACCTGCCCTTTATCTAACCCAAGGAAGAGGTAAGGAGAAATTTAAGAGTAGGTTTTGTCCTTTTGGGTGCACAAAAGACAATATGCTATAAAATCAGCATTGAATTAGGGGTATGTGCCCTGGTTAATTCTTACGGCCAAGAAAATATCAAAAAGGTACATTAGAAGGGGCAAAGGCCAATCCCAAATAGTTGGGATAAGGCTCGGATGATGATGATGATGGAGACATCAAAAAAGGCAAAGATTTGTGTAGGAGCTGAAAGAGATCTCTGAGAAACTTGAATGCTGTGGTAACTTTCTTAACTGCAAAATTGAACTCCAAACCAAGATCCAAGTTCCAACTGTGGCTAATGTTTGGAAGATAAAACCATGTTGTCGAACAAGTGAATTTTTTTTCTTTCATTATTCTTTCAAATCCAATTTATGTAAACTCGTTTAAGTATTTTGATTTTTCCTTTCAATTGATGCTACTATAAATTAAAAAAGAAAGAAATAAATTAAGACATAAAAAATAAAAATGCTTTCATATCCCTTCATCTTGGAAAGGGTAGAAGCATGTGCCTGTGCCATTAGTAGAAAATATATGAAGCATGGAAGAGTTCAATGATTAAAAATTGATTCATGCTTTAAAAGTCATTCCGTATTAAACATAATTAGCGTACATGCGTCTTTTTTAAGACGCTTTTTTCTCCTCGTGGTGCCCTAGTCAACCATTTTAATCCTATCATTAGCATTGTATGTCAAAGCATGTTACGTATTTATAATTATCATTTGTTTCATTGTTCGACACATTTTATGTAATTTGTCCTAGAAGATCATAACTGTACAAGTTAGTCCAGTTATGTCACTTAATGAAATATTACTCTCTCCACCTCTAAACTTAATTTACAGTTCTGACAAGCAAGACCTAGACTCCATGTATTTCAAATCCCTTATCCTCCTATTCTTTGCCACTTTTGTTCCCTTACTCTATCCCTGTTCGCCACATACAAAGTCATTATCCTCTTCTGACCCATCAGCACCATTGGCAACCATGATCTCTACCTGTCAAGTCTCTCTTTCTGGCATAATGCTCATTAGCTTTCTCTAGCTTTCTCCCTATTTTCTTGTATATGTTTGTGTGTGTGTTTAAGGACATGGACATGTATATGTTTGGCACGTCTCCTAGAAAAATGTCAGTGGACACTCCATCACTTCCATACGATGCTGAGTGTTTGGTGTCTCTACATGCGGGTGCATGCATATTTGCATATGAAATCTGTGTAATAATTGAATATGAATAAAATTAAGTGACCTTGTTCTTTGTTTGAACACAAATGTCCAGATTTTTGGAAATGCATGATCAGAGCATGGACATGTGTCTGGGATCTACACAATCTAATCCAAGATTCCAGACACCTGTCCAAATGTGAACAATTTCTTGCATGGTGGTGGCTAACCACCGAGCCTTGTGTATCTGTTCCAGAAAAATTCAAGACGAACATTAGGAGATTTCCCTGGAGTATGTTTTGCATGGACACAACTGTCCAAATTTCTTGTAATGCATGGCGAAATCATGGATACATGTCTTTGGGATCTAGACAGCCTAATCCATGATTCCAGGCATCTTTCTTAATTTGAATGATCTC